CCCAGCGCTGAAGACTACTGCTAGCGCTAACTACTACTGCCAGCGCTCCTCCCGAGTGCTGCGGCTGAATCCTGAAGACTACTCGTGCCTATTGTCCAACTACCTACCCGTGAAGTGCATGGGAACTTCCTATGTACTACTCGGGTACCTCCTGGCTGCAGGCGAGGCAGTCCAGGAGGCTGCTCTTGCCAATGCCGAAGGCAGTCAGGGGCTGCCGCTGCAGCTCCTGCCCAAGGCTGTCGTGGGGAACAGGCCAGAAATAGCCTGTTCCCAAAACCCTGGTTTGTGCCTGAGTCTTAGGGTAGGTCGATCTTATGAGGGCCCGAAAGTGGCCCTCCGTTTCAGGCTGAAAACCCTCAGGGCTGAAAAGCCCTGTTATAGGCTGAAAACGAAATAGGGCCTGCAGGCCCTCGTTTTGAGTTTCAGGCTGAAACGACATGGGGCCTGTAAGCCCTATTTTCTAGGCTTTTAGGTTGAGAATGCGGGACGGGCCCTGCAGGCCCGTGTGGCTACGCAGTATGCCACACAGTGAAGAGGGTAAATTATAAAAAAAGAGATTCCCTGTGAGAAATTCCTAGCGCCGGTGACCAAAATCGTTTAAAATATACAGCGGATTTAGTGGGGTTGAGAAATTCCAAAATGCTTCGGAGTTTTTGTGTCTGGTGTTTTAGTAGCCTTTGAAAGGACCTTTGTATTTGACCAGCCGCTGACCAATAAGCGTAGAAAAGAATTTAACATTATCGCCAAGCTCTATGACATAGTGACTCTGAACAAACCAGCCAAGTACGAGACACAGAGAGTCACTTCAAAACATGTACCTGCTTCTTGTAGTACTTGTACTTCCATAGTCAACATCTCCCCATGCATGGACAAGCATGTGCTTCTACCGGTTTCATCCGTCTGCGTGGAATCATCAGGAAGGTACACTTGTTGACCGTTTCTGTCGAAAAGAGAGCCCGCACGCCTTGCCTCTCGCGTCTTTATCTGTAGGGGAGTCGTAGTCACCTTGTAGCATACTACTGTCTGGAAGTAGAATAAACGCAGCAAAAACACAAGTTCCGATAGAAGTATAAATAAATAAATAAATAAATAAATAATAAAATAAAATAAAATAAAATAAACTGAGACAAACAGGTTCCGGAAGTATCCATGTGCCACACCGGGAAATAAAGGCACAAGCTTGCAACGATTGACGTCTCAAAATCTGCTTTCCTAAAGAAGTTAAAAAAAAACTGTGTAAGTGGCGGGAAGTCGTGCAGCGTCCGATCTAGAAATAAAATATAATATAACCAACTGGAGTCTAGAAGCCAAGTGTCATTTCGAGACTGGGACGGGAAAGGGGAGGACACACAAACTTTAAGGGCAAAATTGTCGAAAGGACAACTCAAAGTACGAAATAAAGACAAAATGGATCTGGACTCTATTTGGTCCTTGTTGTTGTTCCAGTCATTGTCAGCCGGTAGTTAAAGCCTGCCGATCGCTTGGCCGCGGGGAACTGTTCCCTGCTTCGTAGCCCTCAACTGTTCTCCGGTGATGGTCATGGGATCGAAGCCAGGTGACTTGTTTTGAACCAAGTGCAGTAGTGCAAGTAAATCGGCAGTGAGGAGTCCCCTGTAACCTTGGCAAACTTGGCCGAGGCCCACACAGAGAGAGAG